GACCCGGTGCTGGCTGAGCGGCCGCCGCTGCCCGATGCTCGCCCCGCAGGCGAGGGGTCTCTCCCCCGGTACCTGAGGACAAGGCTCTGGGACGGGTCATCGGCGTCAGGCGAACAGCAAACGCCCACCTCGGGGGGCAAGATGGACCCTTCCTCGCAGAAGCTCAGGGAACAAGACGTGAGAGCAGCCAGAGCTTCCTCGGGAGAAGAAAGTGACGAAAGGACGCCAAAGCAGAGCTCTGGGTTGCCTGTCCCCAAGCAGTCCCTTGGGGAGGGACTTTTCCTAAGGGCAGTTAATGACAAAACAAGGGGTAATGGGTTTAAACTGAAAGAGGGGAGGTTTAGATGAGATATTAGGAAGAAATTCTTTGGTGTGAGGGTGGTCAGACAGTGTCCCAGGTTGCCCAAGGAAGTTGTAGATGCCCCCTCCCTGGAAGTGTTTGTGGCCAGGTTGGATGAGGCTTTGAGCAACCTGGTCTAGTGGAAGGTGTCCCTGCTGCTGGCAGGGGGGGTGGGACTGGATGAGCTTTAAGGTCCCTTCCAATCCAAACCAGTCTGGGATTCTGTGATGGTTTGCCAGGGCAGTAGAGCAGCTTGAGAGGCCAGGAACTGGGGTAGAAAAATCCTGCGGATACCTCTGAAACCCTCTTCTGGGGGACAACTGAACCACAGCGATGTCTTCGTCACCTCTGCCAGGCACTTTGTGTTTCATTAACCAGCTATGCAATGCCTCCGACAGAAATGTAATGCTGGAATGATCTGAAAAGCAAAGCAGCACATTTGAAATGCACTTCCAGAAGAGCTCCAGTTCCCCCGAAGGATTGCTCTGGTATTTATCCCTTCGATTTGGAAACGCTGGCACTGTAAGTGTAATCCCTGGGCTGTGTTGGCCCAGCAGAAGGGGAAGGCACAGCGCTCTCCCCTCTGCGCTTTACAGAATTCTCATGGTTTGCAGTTAAACTGGCTCCTCCGTGGATCTTGGCCATAGTAGAGACCACAGTGATGGATCACACCCACTGAAGAAACGCCAGTGAGACAGGGTGACTTTGGGAGCAAGCGGACACACAGGACTGTGCCCGTGTAAGAAAACAGCTCTCTTCTTAGATGCAGGTTATTACGTAAACATCTGCCAGCACAGCTTTGCAGATTAAACCTATTAATACTATTTTTTCAGGCAGGAAATGTGTCAATGCACAAACCAACATGATGGCAACTGCAAAAGAGAATCCATAATCAACCCCACGGATCATTTGATTGTCACAGAGAATTTAGAAGCAGTGTTTTCCAAAGCTCACAAGGTGCATCTTGGTCAGACAGAAGCTTTGTGCAATGTCAGTGACATATCTGCTCCTTTCTTTAACTTAATGAACAACTAATATCTTAGTTGAAAAGGTCCGGGTTGGTTTTGTTTTTTTTTCTGCAGCCTTGGAAGTGTTAAAACAAACAGAAGTACCAAAATATTTTTGATAGCTGTTACTACACAGTTGGAAATAAAAAATGATGACAGTGTATTTTCCAAGAGAAATGAGCCTGCATTAGGAAGGTAAGAAAACAGAGAAATATACAAATGGAACTGTTTGGCAAGAGGTGATCACTGGCAGATGGCAACACCAGAGTTACTTGGGAAGGCAACGCTTTGCTTATGGATAAATGGAGCAGGCAAATGAAAAATTGCTTTCAGGTAATTTGCAGTGTATGTCAGAGTATGTCCTTGTGGTCTTAGAGGCTGTAAAAGATTTTAAATCCTTTTCTCATCATGTGAGAAAAGTTTTAGAATTCCAAGAGGCATTTCATTTTGTCAGCTTCAGCCACAAGGAAGCACTGAGGCAAAGCTCTGCAAAGCAGTCACCTCCAAACCCTGACAGCACAGCTGTGATATTTACAGTCTTCTTTCTGCATTAGGCAAAAACTGCCCAGTTATGAGGTTTAATGATGACAAAGACAGGAGGATTAAGACATTTCAGGGACTAAAATTCATATTTTTTTCCTAACATGCTGAAGAGTTTTTTGTGACACAATGCTCTTTTAACAACTGTGATTTATGTCCACTGAACTGTGACACTGCATTCACGGAAGGTTCAGATGTAATAAAGAATTGATTACAAAATCTTTGATCATAAATGTAAGTCTTACCTAAAACCAGAGCAAAACAGCTGGGAAGGGATCTTACTTATTTTCCCATATTAAGACTGGTAAGTAGGATTGAAGCTGTTTCTGTGTGTGAAGTGTGTACTTGAGAGAGAAATACAAGTACACCGAGGGAAACAACATTTCCTAGAATGCCACTTAAGGCAAAGCTTGTGCCTCTGACGTAACAAAATTATCTTTGGCAGCTCTTGCACAAGAAGGTGGGGAAGGAAAAGTGATGTGACTACCAGGGAAGAAAACTATCCCAAATTCCTGAAAATTTATAGAATCATAGAATGGTTTGGGTTGGAAGGGACCTTAAAGCTCATCCAGTTCCAACCCCCCTGCCAGCAGCAGGGACACCTTCCACTAGACCAGGTTGCTCAAAGCCTCATCCAGCCTGGCCTTCAACACTTCCAGGGATGGGGCATCTACAACTTCCTTGGGCAACCTGTTCCAGTGTCTCACCACCCTCACACCAAAGAATTTCTTCCTAATATCTCATCTAAACCTCCCCTCTTTCAGCTTAAACCCATTTCCCCTTGTTTTGTCATTAACTGCCCTTATGAAAAGTCCCTCCCCAGCTTTCTTGTAGCCCCTTCAGGTACTGGGAGGCCGCTATAAGATCTCCCCGGAGCCTTCTCTTCTCCAGGCTGAACAGCCCCAACTCTCTCAGCCTGTCCTCACAGCAGAGCTGCTCCAGCCCTCGGATCATCCTGGTGGCCCTTCTCTGGACTTGTTCTAACTGGTCCATGTAACTTCCAGGACATGACAGAAGGCTTTGCTAGGAGGTGCCCCAACCATTACATGTGTCCCAGCAACGCCTGACAGAGAAGAGGAGGTTCCTCAGTGGTTACCCATTTCCCTCCAAGGCCAGACCAGACCCTGCCCCACAGCCCATCCTCCCAGCAGACCCTAACCCCTTCCCCCCCAGGTCTCCCCTACCTTTGGGCTGCACGGGCAGCTCGTCTCTCTCCAGGCAGCCCATTCGTCATTCACTGCCAGGTGATCTCTCCCATTCCACCTCTTCTTGCTGCTGGGCACCTGTGACAACTCCTCTTCCTCCACTTCTCTGCTCAGGGTTTCAGCCACTGCAGACTCTACTGCTCTCAACTAGACCAAACGTTGTCACTTAGAACCCCCTCAAGTCTGTCATGAGACATTACTGATAGTTTATCATCAGTACCTTCCAGATTGTTTATTGTCTCGAATATAAATCAAATAAAACCAAAGATATACTGTATCAAAAATAGAAAAAATATTTATATGTTCCAAAGACATAAATACTTTTGGAAATCTGGCTTCTTTTTTTGAAGTGTCGTGTCCATTTTGTTGAGTGAGACTCTTTGCAGACTCAGAACTGCCAGAACAGTCAAAGTCAGAAGATGATGTGAAAGCAAATACATAAAAGATGACAATTTAGGGTCCAAGCAAGAGTTTCAGTTTACAACTGAGATCAGCCCAGTCTGGAAATGAGACTGATGAGAGAAGTGGGTTTATATCAGGTTATAAGAAGTGCTGAAGAGATCCAGTGGTCACTGTAATACTGTCATAAAAACATCTCTGTTGAGAACATACTCAAGCTACGCTGACAAAGTAAAATGGTGCTCAGAAAGTGGAACAGATGATTATTAACAGAGATCCAGCATCCAAGTGAACACACACAAAACTAGCTCAAATCCAGTGGGCTTTCACATGACATCTGGTGTCAGAGGGCACTTTTGGGAGCCATCACAAAGAGACTAGAAAAACACCTCCACTGTTTTACAGCTGTTTAAGAAACACAGATTTAAGAGTTTTACCAGAGATTGCAAATTGAACTAGGGACAGACAATAGGCATTGTATTTCCACAATGCTCCCTGCTTTAACTATCAGCAGGGCAAATTGTATGCTGAAGAAATGAAGATGGAAGTCACTGGGGTCTAAACATTCAGTGCTTTACACCGGGGAAAGGGGACTGGTTTCTTGAAGGCAGGTTATTCTGCTGAATAGTGGAACTTGAAGGGTGAAGCGTTTCACAGCCCAAAGCCAGGGAAAGCCAGGGAAAGCCAGGGAAAGCCAGGGAAAAGGTCGTGGTGTCACTGAGGGAGGCACCTGCCTCCAGAAGCACCAACACGAAGAAAAGTTGGGGACTTAAAACCTGTTAGAAAAATGGAAAGAAAAGGCACAGGAGGAAAATCAGGGGGGAAAAAGAGGCTCCAGACCACCCGTGTGCTGAAGGCAGGACAGGGACTGGAGGAGTTAGTGCAATTCGGAGCAGAGGGCTGGGAAGGGAGTCTGAAGGAAGTTCAGACCCGTTCTCCAGCGTGTCATCTGGGCAGCAGGCCACAAGGAGGAGCAGTGCACCCACCGATCCCAGCCCGCTGCTAGCACCAGCCTGGAACAGAGGTTCCAGCTTCTCAGGAAGACCTCCGGGTACAAAATTTTCAGGATGGAGGAGTGGGCTCCATTCAGTATCTTCTCCTCTGTTTTTTGTTCCCCTTTCTTTTCTGTTCCTTCTCTTTCCGGGCTCCAGCCGTGGTAAATGTAATGCACTGAGCATCTAAAAAGTCCAGCAGCTTTGCCTTGGAAATTTTAATGCCGTTCTGTTTTAGCTCTGCGTGCAGCTCAGCCAGCTCAATTGGCTCATAAAAGAGAACCTTGTGGTACAGGGCTGTGTTGGAACGGATGTAGCACCTTACTGCCTCCAGCTTTTCTTCTTCCCGAGCTGCTGCCTGAGATGCTGGAAGCTCCTCTTCCTCCTCCTCAGATGCAAAAGCACAGGCTTCAAATCCATTCACAAAAGAACTAAAAGCAAGATCAAGTAGAGCAGAGACCAAAGAAAGAACAGGCCATCAAGGACAGGACCAGAGCTCCCCAAATCCCTGGTGGCCAACCCCTCTGACCAGGATCACAGACTCTCCCACCAGCACCCACAAACTGAGTGAAGCAGAACATGGCACGTGTTCTGCAAACTTCCCCATCCCAGAGGTGACAGCGCTGGCCCAGCCCTGGAGCTGTCTGGCATTCCTCACTGCTGACCCACAGCACCAGCTGCTGCCATACTGTGGCTGTGCTGTCCTCTCCCTACTCTAGCTGCAGGCTCTCAGTCAACACTGAGTGCTCGTTGTCACTCTAACTTGCAGAGACCAGATATGCCAGGTTTGGGCCTTACCCACAAGGAGCCACAAGCACTTTTGTGTTCTGAGAACAGCCCACTGGGAATTAGACTAAAAAAACCCAAAGCTTGTTTCTTTTGTAGGAGCGTTGTTGATCTTCAAATGACATGCCTAAAGAGGTGGCAGGGCCACTGTAGGCCACATGGACACTCACCTCTTTGTTTGCCATGTTCCCAGCTAATCTCTGTCCTGCACCATTGACTGTTTTGTTCAGTATTTTATTCCCTTACCTCTGTGAACCAAAAGAAATGTCGCTTCCATCCACTAAAGAAATGGCAGACTCCTGAGATGCTGAGAGCATTGGCTGCTCGCCATCAGCTGCCAGTGACCGTATCTCTGGAGATACAGATGACCTTTTCTGCTCTTTGGCTCCTTCTGGGTGACGTGTCATTTTAGTTCCCTCCTTGGGTGCTGCACAGCCTGTTTCACGGGGTCCAACAAGGTCATCATCAGCCCTCCTCACAGGGAGCACTGAAGAAGCCGTAGCAACCCGCTTCCTTTTGCCCACAGCCCTCGAGGCACTGGCACGCTTTCCACCTGCAGTCCTGTCTGCCTTCGACTGCCTAGAGCGTTTGGCCAGGGACTTCTGTGAGGGAGGTTGGGAAGATGGTATTTCATCCTCAAAGTCAGAGTCCACGTCCTGGTGAGTATACTGGAATATCTCCTTCAGCTTCAACACCATCTGGCGTTTTGGGAGAGCACGAACTCCAAATCTGAAAGAGAAAGGTGGGAGCTTAGGTTAAAATAATGCTGCACCTTCCAATGTCACAGCTCAGGAAGGGGCTCAGGCCAGGAAGTCCAGTGGCCAGCTGGAAGAGTGTGACACGACCTCAAAAAACACTGACTGGAGCTTCACCAAGGTTTCCCTTTCAGCCCAGGAGCTTTCTTTCACACTACCTGTCAGCAAGCTGCTGCTCATAAAGAGATGTACTCGTGGAGGTAATGCTAACCTGCTCAACTCCTTCTTCAGCTGCGGGGTCTCCATGAGGGAGTAAGCTGGCATCGGTGTCATGGGAGTGCTGGGAGACTTGTCCTTCTCCTGACAGGGAGGTTCTGCAACAGATGGAATTACCATGATCACAGTTAGTACAGAAAGGACTTAAAATGGCTGGTACCTTCCTCTCTCACTGCCAGATACATACAATAATTAAGCAGCACTACTTTTCTGCAAACTCTTTTACTTATTAATCAGCTTCCTATTGAACAGGACAGTCAACACTTTTTTTCTAAACTGAGCTTTATTGACTAAATCAGAAAACAGCTTAAATTAAGACATATGTCACATCTGAATACGAAGCTCATGCAGAGCTTTGTTAGAACAGACAACTTTTCCAAGGCAGTTAAAAAAACCCAAACATGTTTACTGAATTCTGTAACGTGGTTCTTCTCCCAGGAAGGAAATTTCATAATAGGGACTTGATGCAGAAGAAACCCAGCAAGTCAAGCTTCTGGGGTCCTGAGTTAGATACTGATTTAATGACACCAATTTACGGATACTGTGAAGCACAGTTAGTCTCACACATCATGTTCTAAACACCCATTAAACTAATCACTTAGTATGGCATAATTAATAATATATTTAATTAGATACTCTGAGACAAAATACTGGTCTTAGATGGAAGGAACCACACAAGGATATGTGCTGGGCATGCAGAGGTCTGTTGCAAGGGCCCAGAACCAGCAAACAGAAGGCAGCACAAGACAGTGCAGCAGCAGCTTGGGAGGAAAGCTTGCAGGAAGCCTACCCACAGGCAGGGATAGTCACCCAGCGAGGCTCAACACAAGGACACCCTCTGCATCTCTGCCACTCAGTGTGTCACTTACCTGATGTCCTCATTAGCACAAGCATAGCTTCATGAATGCATGAAAAGCAAAAGCCTGCAGAGCACTGCACCCACTACTACTGGGAACAAATATCTACCAGCACGCGAGCTGAAGCCTGGGTTTTGTTCTGTCTTGATTAGGTTTTTTTTCCTCCAAGTACTGTAGCTTCTGCAAGGACCACCATCACTATCAAAGAACAAGTGTGAGTGAAACCCAAGAGGTTATGCTCCAGGAATCCCACGTTTAGCTATGCTCTCTCCCACATCAGAAGACGACTGTACCTTCTTTGCACCTGGCCCTGACAACTACTTCAGATGAGGAGGCCAAAAGACAATTTCAATGTATCAAGTGAGCAGTGACCATTTAAAATGCAAACAGTTTAACCTAGTTAGATGAATTGATCATTACACGCACTCACATGGATCAATACCAACACATGCACCCACCAGGAGTCTTCACAGGATCTGTCTGACAGGCACCTGCTGCAGCTGACAACCTCTGCGACAGAGGAAGCATCTCTGGAAATTTATCATCCTCCTCTTCTCCATTCCAGTCATCCCAGATTTTGGAGTCCAGGTAACTTGGTCTACTGGCCACTGATGAACATGCCTCAATAGGACTCTTCTCAAGACAGAACAAAGTTGTTCTTCTGCCAACAGGACTTCCTCGAAGAGGGGTACTGCCCTTAATCTCCTGCGCAGGGACTGGGCTCTCCCACTGGTCACGCCACGAGTCAGCTTTGGGGGTGCTGGCAGTGCTGGTCTTTGCACAGCTGACCTGTCTGGAGTCCTGGCTGTTACCTCCGACTGGTGACAGACATTCAACGTGCCAGCAGTCATCAACGGGGATTGGGGGCTCGTCACAAAGCAAGACGCTACTACCCACGGAAGGCAGGCTTATTTCCTTTTCACTGTCCTCTATCTCAACCACACTGATGTTTGGTTTATCTTCCAATGATTGTTCATGGCACAGAGGCTCAGGTCTGGATAAAAATGAGATCTCAGCACATTTGCTTTTTATGTTGATGTGACCAGGTGAGAGAAGAACTGGATCCACTGGGGAAACTGGTGGGGAGTTCTTGGAAAACGATCCTGCTGCTGGGCTGCTGGAAGGGCTCCTTTCACTGACTGAGGTCTCCGTAGGCAAATGTCTGTCTAACAAGGTTGTTTCACAAACTTTTATTAAATTTCCAGCCATTTCATGGTTACTGTTTCCTGCTGCTAAGTTCTTTGTGCTGAGTTTAGATCCTGAACTTTTTAAAGAATTAATACTTGTGACTTGAGTCTGTGTAGAGCAACTTCTGCTTTTGCTCACAACTGGTGTGTCTGGCACTAGCCAGGAGCTGTCTGTAGCTGAAGACATTTCATGACCAAGTCTTTTTCCAGGGCTCAGGTTTGGACTCTGTTTGCTCTCCATACAAGCATCTGTTTGTCTGCTGAGAGGCAACTCGGTGGACATCTTCACATCACTACTTGTATGCACCGTATCTGTAATGCCACAGGAGAGCTGGGTAGACCTTTGCTCTGTTTCAGTGACTGGTGAGTTATGCTCAGGCTCTGGTATCTCAGGACCTTGTTCTACGTTTGCACATTTCGGTTGCCCAAGGATTTCCATTTTCTTCAGAGGAGAGCCTGACTCCGGAGACTTCTTGTCTTCTTGTAACTCCATTTCATCACCAGAAGATAAAACAATAACATCACCCTCCTTGTTCCCTTGAGTTACAGCATCCTGAGATCTGATGACTGGTGATGACAACACTGGGACATACATGTGCTTGTTTAAGTCAACGTCAGGAAGTTCTGCTGGAGAAATTGTGTTGTTGTTTCTTGATGCAGTATCCAGCTCGTTGGCTTTCTGAAAGGGTATTTCATCAGATGGCAATGATTCTTCCTCTTTGTTTTCTTTTGGTGTTGACACATGTTCTCTGGTAAACTTTCTGTCTGATTTTGGAGATGCAGGTGAGGAGCCAACAGCAGGAAAAAGAGGCACATAAGGTTTGGGAGAAGGACACCTGTAAAAACCATTCCTACGTGGAGAGAGGTCTTTTTGTGACTTGCTGTACAGGAGAGAATCATTAACATCAATGTGTTTTTCACTAGGAGCCTTTCCTGATTCTCTGATACCTTCTTTCACCGGGGAAGGCTCACAGTAATCTCCCTGAGTCGCAGAAAACAAGCGTTCATAACTTTCATTTATATTAGTCTCACCATGGAAGCTAAGAAACTGTTTTTCACAGTGATCTGCCCCATCATGTGAGACCTGAGATGACTTGGAATCCTTCACACCTTCACATCTCCTGTCGGTCTCTCCTTCATTAGCAGTGGCACCATGGGATGCTGCGTCCCATTTTTGAGGTTGACTGTGGTGAGGCACAAAAGTGAGCGGAGCACTCACGCTCTTGCACCTATTTATATTCTGCATTTTCTCTTGTGCAGATGAGTCACATTTAGATCTTTCCACACAACTGTCATCCCCTAAATCTTTGAAGTTGTTGCTTATTGAAGCAGATTCAGGTCTCTTTACTGCTTCCTCCTCAGTTTGCTGGTTCGTACCTTGGGCTGCCTCAGTATCACTGCAGTTGCTGCAGTCTGTTCCCTCCCTCACCTCTGTTTCACCTTGAATCATCTTTCTCTGAGTTGCAGCAAACTCATAGATTTCCTCCAGCTCCTCTTCACCTACCCCATTGTCATCTTCCTTCTGGCATTCAGAGCTCAGCATACCTTCTTCCTCATCTTCACCCACCCACACTGACTTCAGGAGGTCTTGGAAATTCTCAGCTCTGTCCTCACAATCTTTGTCATCCCTCACAGAGATAAGATCATCTTCTGAATCCACTCCAGAAGATACCTGACCCTCTCCAGGGTTGTTTTCACACTCTGACATCAGTTCCCTCACACCAAACCTGCAAGGATATAATAGTGATGTTAGTATTTTCCTCCTCCAATATTTCTTCACTATTTGGCTGCCTGATCACTCTTGTGAGCCTTGTAAAGAATCTGCACGAGGAGAATTTGCTGCTTTCCTAAGAAGTAAAAGATCCAGTATACTCCTAAAATCCGGAATTCCCTTTTCCAGGTGTCATTTATATTAAAGCATCAGGCTCACTCTTCCTTTTTTATGTTTGAGACTGAACAGCTATATGACTGCACTAAAAGCCCTTTGCCATTTGCATTGGTGAGGGCCCCATGGAATGGCTGGGGCTGGATAATGTCTGTCACGTGGAAGCTTCATGGCTTTTTGGAGTGACAGGGCACCTCTCTACATACATTCTGGCAAGACCCAACCATTTCCCCACCCCCCATATCTCAGCAACTGCTCCTATTTCAAGCTCTTTACTTAGTGCACGCTTAGGATCATGACCAAGAGCATGGCTGACACAACATGTTAGCGTTCTATGCACCCAATAATATGAACTTGCAGAATATAAGTGCAATGCTTTGAGAAACACATATAGGATATGCTCAATGTCAGCTGTCAATAAAGATCCTGAGACAAAACTCTTGGCAAAAGTCTGCTAAGTGTATACTGAACACAGAAAATCTCACAGATATAACCTGAAGAGAGACTCATGGAAAAGATGAGGGTAGGATGTTCTTATGTTCAAGTTTCATTTCAGATTTAAGCAGAGGACCCTGGAATTTGTAAGCGACTAAAACTGCAATGAAAGTTAACAGGTTGGGGTCTGTGTGGCTGAGGGGATTCAAAACATGCTCACGATACAAACCTGGCAGCCAGAGCCCCCACCTGGGGCAGCACCCCAGCAGGGATGTCAGCATCAGCAGCGTAAAGGTATCGCAGGAACGCGCACGCTGCCTCTCCTGTCACGTCACTCAGCAGCACACGGCGTGTCGGTGCGTTCCCATCCTCCTCCGCTAAGAAGCCTTGGCTGTGAACCTGGGGTAGGAGGGAAGCAAACAAAGTCCATTTGCTGGGAAAGGAATGGCAACACCAATATCATCGTATCAGCTTATTCCTCTCATGCGCCAAAGTCTTGTCCTGGAACCAGGACCTGATGCCTCAGAGGGAATCTAAAGTGACCAGTTCTGCAGAGCTTCATATGGACCGTTTCCTTCCTGACCCTGCAGCTGTCAGCTTGGAGAAAATCTGACTACTCTTTGTCTTAGTCACACACATAAAAGATGGTCTTAGAGTTCTCCAGTTAGTTTTGGAATAAAATTACTTCCCAGAGCACAATTTCCAGAGTTATCTGCACCTCTCTACAAGCGAGCTTCCTCTGATCTGTTTTGAATTTACCTACTCTTGATGCACTGCCAAAACTCTGGTTCTCCTGATGTCTCACAGGAAAAGAGACACCGTACAAGATACTGCTCCACTGAACTGGACCGTTATCTGTGTGGGTCCAAGTTGATCACAGTTGATGTTTTGGCAAAAATGCATCTCCAGGATCAGTAAGGTCTCACTTCCTTTGCAGCCAAATCACACATTGTGCTATCTGAAACTGTCTCCAAAGTTAGGGGAAGCCATGCAACAGAAAACACGAGCTCCAAAGGAACCTCTGATTAATTACTCTCTCGTTAGCCAAAATCTTCAACAAAGAAGAGCACTCCCTCACCTATACAGAAAATAAACACAAAATGCTGTTCTGCAGGTAGGGACTTACAGGAAAACAACCCTCCCCACGAATCAAAGATACAACATGGAGCCAATCCCACAACTCCACCCACACAAATGATTCCTGCCCATGAGAACAGTGGATGGAAATGTCGAAGCCAGGCAAGAGTTGCAGGGAAATACTAAGAGAACATGGCTAACCTAATTGTTTTTAAAGTAATTCAATTTGCACATTTGCTAATAGTTGTGAAGATCCCTTAAAAACTTTCACATTAAGACTGCTGTATGGCATCCAGGAACTTGCTTCTCCTCAAACATTCATGGACCCCTTAGAAATGGTCTGAGTCACTTTGGGTGGAAACTACTGCCAACATGCAGGAGGATAAAACTAATTCCACCGTTTCCACAAGGGCAGCTTTAAAGAAAGCTTCCTTTGTTAGGGAGCTGGCTGTACGGACTGGCAGCAGCTCTGCGAAAGAGCAGAGTTCAAATCTTAGGCTCAGCTGCCTTTCACTGTCCCGACAGGAGACTGCATAGGAGCTGGGAACTGTTCAACCCAAAATGCTTCTGGGAACACAAGAACTACTTCACTAACCTTGCAAAAAGCACAGTTCAGCGCAGCTCTCTCCAAAGCAACTCTGAGAGTGACAAAACCTCTGTGTGGGTTGTTTTCAAGTACTTCCCAGAATCTCTCTACTCCATACTCAAGCATCCCAGACTGGGTGACAGGCAGGACACACCAAGACAGACAAAGCAGTTTGCACTTGCACAGGTACAAAAATTCAAGGGCAAAAACCACTTTGGAAGCTTGCTCCATTGCTCATGGGCAGAATGGAAGGAAGGATCCTTGCCTCCCCATAGTTTCCCCAGATAAGGTACCACGTTTCCCACCATTTTGTCAGGATTCTGGTTTCCTAAGCTGAAAAACCACTGCAGATCCAGAGGCACTTGCCATCAGGCCCAGCAGTGCCCCGTGCAGATTCTGTAGCATTAACTAGTTGTAGGTGTGGGCAGCCTGGGCTTTCCTGAAGCAGAGGAGGAAAGCACGTCAGCAGTACTTACAACTTGAACGGCCTGCGGACACCGCGCGTACAACACAAACATGTGGGCGTAAAGCACTTCCCCAGAGTCCACCTGGAACTGGACATCACTTAAGTGGGGGTTGTTGACCATCGCACTGAAATCTTCAGCCAGCAGCCTGAGAGAAGACTGGAACACAGAAGGAAAATGAAGACCCAAGTTCAGTTACAGCTGTCAAGACACTGCCCTGAAAAACAAGGAGGGGATAACCCGGTCTGTCAGCACTGCTGTACTGTGGGCGCCAGTCTGGGTGCACTGCCTTTGCCTTCTGAAGATAATCATCGGTATTATCAACTTAAGCTCTTCCAAACAACAAAATAAGCAAGTCTAACAGACATTTCTGGCTTTGTTTTCCTCCAGTTTTTCACAGTCTGGCAATTGTGGAGAAAGGGCACTCGTCCTGTATTCTACTGTACTTGTTCTGCCTTGTATGACAGCACATCATCCCTCTCAGATCTTCACCGCACCGTTTCCTGATGTGGTCTAGCCACTGCCTACAGTTGGCCTCTTGATCTGCTGCCTTCCACCACATTTTTAGGAAACTGTAATTTCCACTCTGACGGACTTGAACTCAATTCACTATAATTAGAGTAAAAGGAAAGAGGATGACTCAGGGACGGGGTAATGAGCCTTTCTTCTCTCACTCACTGTCTGGCAGTGACAGCTGAGAAGAGCAGCTTTGTAACAAGGGGCACACATAGAATAAAACTAATTTAGGTGTTGAGCTCAAAGGAATGTACATGCATGCTACTGAAAGCACTTTTGAAAAATTCCACTGGATTCTAAAAAAGAACCATAATTTCTATTCTCATTCTAGAACCCCTTGCTGGAATTTTGGGGAGGGCTGGTTGACTGAGCTGCCTGTGACTGGTTACTGGTGATGGTAGGGTCAGGCCTGGGGTACGCTGCCAAAGACAGCAGTGATGAACACTGGAGCTGTTCCCAGTCTGAACCCACCCCAGGCAATCTTCTAAAGGCTCAGATCCCTCTGGACAAGTGTTGTGCCTCTGGAGGTGGCCAGTGCTTCAGGGAAGTGTGAAATACCCTCAGCTCATGGCTGAGAGGCTCTCTGACTGTCAGTGGAAACCAATTTATAGTTAATATGCTAATCATTGACCTTGAGCTTTTCAAACCTACTGCAGAGTTGAGAAACTACAAGTTTTATTCCAGAGAACATCTGCATGAAATGCAGCTCCACCTGTAACAACACAAGTTTTATTTTATTAGCAGTTTTCTACATTAGCTCTGTGGACTATGGAAACCCAACCTTTCTGCTTGCTCCAGCACGTGTTTGTGAGCGGCCAACACTAATTAGCACCAAAACAGCAGCGCACACCAGAACACTTCTTCCAGGCCTTCATAGGTGGGCTAGAGAAGACTCTGCGTGTCATGGCAGTGTGGTGGACTGATCCCCAAGGGGAAGACAGGAAGCTTAGTCTGGAAACTAATCTGATGTTTCTTGCTCTCTTATTCTTGGCAGGTAGGATACCTGCAAGACAGTACCTCAGGAAGCCAGCAAACACAAACTCCTGATGCG